GGGAATGGTGAGGATGACAGTTCCTTGGCGCTCACTGGTGACTTGCCTGACATTGCTGCTTGGAAGATAGCGCTTCCAAGGACTCTAAGGTTCTACGCTGAGATGTGGGCTCCTTACAACGCTACATAAAGAACTTAAACACTCTTTTTTGTATGTCTATGATGATCTGATCTCGATTCAGTTTCCAGGAATGGAATGTTTGTTGAAAAGGGGGAGACTATATTATGTTCTGTTCTTGTTGCATCTTTGAGTTATGTTATGAGTTCATTTAACAAGAAAAGAATATGTTTTTATTTAAGACAGATTACATATCAATTCTAAAGGGAAAGAGTGCATGTGAGATCACATGATGATTGAAGAGGCAAACGAGTGTTAACGAGATGCTGGACTCTAAATGAGTGGATTGTGAGATTCCATATCGGTTAGGGAAGAGTACTACACATTTTTTAAAAAGACTTGTCTACTAAGAAAAAGCTTCTATACCCTTACAAGTAAGGTGTCGTTCTCCTCCCCACTTCCTAATTGGCGTGAGATCTCATAATCCATCTCTTTGAGACCTAACGTCTTCATGGGTGCTCGTTTCCCTCCCTAATAGATGAGATATTGGAATCTAATAATAATAATTTTAATTTTATAATTATTTAAAAAATTTATAGTTAGGTTTAAATACAATCCAATAAAAAGATCCACGAAATATAGATAAAAATAAAGTGGGGTCCAAAAGGCATGTCTCTAATAATTAGGCCTATTTTAATTAATCTAAAACGGATCTAACAAATCTTTCCAATTTTGCCCATGACCCACAATAAAAGGAAGCAAATAAACAAAATCAAGAAAATTATTGAAATTAATTAACCAAAAGGGAAATTAATATGATGATTAATTACTCTTTTTTTAAATAATATTACGAATATGGTAAATCATACCTACCATTTTAAAAAATAATAAAAACAATCCCATTAATTCGAGCTGGTTTAGGCACATGCACCTTCCCTAACCTAAACCCTAACTCCCAAAGTCATATATAATAATAATAATAATTAAAAAAAAAAAAAAAGGTGTGCATTCTGGATTTGTAAGTGTATGTATGGAATGGGAGTGTGAAAGTAGGGGACATATCTCTGAAATAATTATCATTTGATTTGATGCTTCCTATTTTACTCTACTTTCCATTTATTTCCCCATCTTTTGCTTCCACCCCCACCATCACTTCCTCTCTCTAAATTAGGGTTTTATTCATCTAATTTCTTCTAACAATCACCACACCAAGGCCCTTCAATTTGACACCTCCAACCAACCAACCCACAAGGTACTTTCTCTAAATCTTGTGTTTTTTGCTCTCATCTCTCCTTGAAAAAGCTGTTTATTTTAACTTTGTCTTGTGTTTATTGTAATATATTGAAGAACATGATGAACTGGAATAATTTATTGTCAAATCTACAGAAATCCACAAAGTTTTCGTCTTTTTTGTTCTTTGAACAAAATAATTAGATGGGTTCATGTAAATTTTTAGATTTTGATCCAAAGTTGTAATATAAATTGCTAATTTTAGACAAGTCGATGAAAAGGATTAACAAAACTACAAAAACCCACAAAGCTTTCATCTTTTTTGTTCTTTGAAGAAAATATTCAGATGGGTTTATGTAAATTTTTAGATTTTGATCCAATGTTCTAATATAAATTGCTAATTTTGACAAGTCGATGAAAAGAATGAACAAAACTACAAAAATTCATAAAGTTTTCATCTTTTTTGTACTTTAAAGAAAATGTTGAGATGGGTTTATGTAAATTTTTAGATTTTGATCCAAAGTTGTAATAAAAATAGCTAATTTTTTTTGTTTGCAGATGGAAATGGGATCATTAGCAACAGGAACAAACCATTATTACAGCCCTTGTGCAGCCTGCAAATTCCTGAGAAGAAAATGCATATCAGGATGCATATTTGCACCCTATTTCCCACCAGAGGAGCCCCAAAAATTCGCCAATGTTCACAAGGTGTTCGGAGCCAGTAACGTGGCGAAGCTCCTCAATGAAGTTCTTCCTCATCAACGACAAGACGCCGTCGTGTCCCTCGCCTACCAAGCGGAGGCCAGAATCAGAGACCCTGTTTATGGCTGTGTTGCCGCCATTTCCTTCCTTCAAAAACAGGTCCAGAGGCTCCAAAATGAACTCGATGCAGCTAAAGCTCGCCTTTTGCTATACTCTTGCACTGATTTCTCAACCCCCTTTTCGCCTCAGTCTCAGATTATTAGCCCTCCGCTGCTTTGGAATCATAATGATATTGTTTCTGCTAATTCTTCTGTGTATTTTAATGGAGGAATTTAAAGGAGAAATGGGCATGTTTTATATTGTAAAAGGAACTCAAGATTTGAGGTCTCTTTGTGGTTCATGGCTAGCAGCTGCCTAATGCTTGGTTTTAGGGTTTTGATGTATTGTATCATATTATTATTATTATAGACAACTCTGTAGGCATGTTCTTGTGGAAGTTGTATTAAACATCCTGTCTATTAACATGCTACTTAACCTAGCTAAGCATTAGTATTTTTCATTCTTTTAAGTATAAAAAGATCCCTCTCTTTCTTTCGTTCACTATATCATAAACGAATCTTTTTCTAATTGTCCCGTTACAGAGATAGTCTTTTAGTCATAATATTTGCTTGGTGCATCTGAATCTTTAACCGTTTGAAAGAAGGTGCAAAAGCTTTTTATAACCGTTTAAGTCCATCACTAGCAAATATTGTTTTTTTTTTACTTTCCCTTTCGAGGTTCCCCTTAGAGTTTTTAAAACACGTCTATCAGGAGGGGTTTCGTTTCCACACTCTTAATCCCGAAATCCACACCTTACGGAGCTCAGTGTCCTCGGTGACGTACCATTTGTTAACCAAATCTATTGTTAGCAAATATTGTCATCTTTAAGTTTTCACTTTCTAACTTTCTGTTAAAGCTTTTAAAACACGTCTACTATAAAAGGTTTCGTTTTCCCCCCTTAATCTCTTTTAAGGCATAAAGGGCTTGTAAAGTTGTTGATTTGGCACGTCATAGTTACTCAATTCATTAATCTTCTGTAGCAGATATGGATCAGCTTCTATTTGGCCGAAACTTAACTGTTCTTCTGCCATCATTGGCTGTTTATTTATCTGGAAAATAATGTTTGTTTTGCAGCTTTTTCTGGAAAAAACATTCATTTGTCACCTCCCTAGATGTAACAGCAGAACACACCCATCATTCTTTTTGATATCTTATAAGTATTTGTAAAAGTAATTATCCTCTCTCAATTTTTTTTTTTTTTTTTTAATTTCACTTCAAGATTTTTTAAAACCCGTCAATTAGAGAAAAGTTTTTACATCATTATAAATAACACTTCGTTCTCTTCTTCAATCGATATTGAATCTCATCGTATTAAATAGTATAAACAAAACAAATCGCATTTCGTCGACTTAATTTGAGAGATTTACCCATTGAATGTAAATTGAAGCTTATTAGTTGAAGTTCTTGGAAACAAGGATGACGAACATAGTATTAGGGCACGAGTTTGTGAGCTGAAATCTTAATCATATCATTTCCTCTCTAACTAATATTGATTATCACTCATCGGCTAGGTTCGATCTTCGATTCGTAGAGTATATGAAGAAAAAAAAAATAATAATAACTATGATTATAAGTTACAAGGTTCCAAAATAGGCCCACACTCCATAACTTAACATAACTATTCATGTTCATTCCTTTTGGACTCTTAGGGGAGAGTTGATCCAAAGATTTGGATTCTAAACCCAAAATTCTCGCCAAAAACTGAGATATTTTATTTTTATTAGTATGCGATTACCATTAAGATTTAGTTTGGCAAACAACAATGATGTGAATGGAAGAGAAGTAGAGGAGTTGGAAGGTTGACATGCATGTGTGAAGAAAAAGGTGTTTTATGTGTGGATTTTTATAGAAGAAACTATAATATATTTGGAAGATAGTTTGTTAATTATATTATAATTAGTGAAGAAAGTAGGGTATTAAGTAGTAAGTGAAAGACTGCCAATAATGATAGGCATGATGATTGCACCCACGCCATGCCCACTAAACCAAATCCAGCTTTCCCATTATTTATATGTTCTTTCATTTATGCCTTTTGAAACGTTTCTCCTCTCCCATTGATATAGGACTCTTAAGTGTTTTAATGTGTCAGTGGTGTATGGTTATGCGCTATTTATACTCAAACTTGTCCGCTTTGACCTATCATCGTCAGCTTGTTAGGGAGAAGTTGTGTTTTAATGTGTCAGTGGTGTATGGTTATGCGCTATTTATACTCAAACTTGTCCGCTTTGACCTATCATCGTCAGCTTGTTAGGGAGAAGTTTGAATATTTTGTTCCACAGTCCAATGGATGTGAGATCTTAGAACACTTTTTTTTTATTAAAAAAATCTTTAAAACCCATCCAAATGGAAGAATAAAAAACCCATATCTTTAATTTTGAATAGGCTTTAAAGTTTTGTAGTTGGTTGAGGGAGGCTTGTGTTCAATGCTTCTGCCAAAAGGTGTAAATGGAATGTTGATCTCTTTATTTCTTTGAATATATAAACAAATTAATTAAGTAAACATAATATGTGAAATCCACTAAGCTATTTTTGTTCAATAAACATAAAATATTATAAATGAAACCCACCACTTCACCTACCAACCTAATTAAAGAGTTTGGAGCATGCTGTCATTTTAAAATTTAGCTGAATAAATGAAGAAGTTCTTATGTTCTAAATTGAAAATTTAAAGAGGTACGGAGTGATCCAGAGAGTTCATGAATTACCCAAATTCCAAACCGAAAAGGTATATAATAAGATGAGATCGAGGAAGAAATTTGAATTAATCAGAAAAATTGGATGGAAAATGACAACTGAGCTCCATCCTCATCGACATGTTTCCCATGCAAACATCGAATCCTTAAATGTCGAACAAGTGTCCTTCTTCCTCCACGTGTCCTCTTCTTCCTTCCTCCCCTTAAAAACACTTCTTTTTCTCTCCCAATTTTCAAATTCCATTTCCCAGTCCTTCTTCCTCCACTTCCCATGGCGGAGTTTCAACAGCAGCCACCGCAGAGCCACCCTAATTATGTACGACCCACCACCGATCCCTTCAAAACCATCCTTCCCCAAACCTCCCTTTCAACCTCCAAGCTCTTTGCACTTCTAACTCTCTTGCCCATCGGCGCCTTCCTCCTTTTCCTCGCTGGAATTTCCTTCATCGGAACCGTCGTCGGTTTGGCTATTACATCTCCTCTTTTCCTCATTTTCAGCCCCATTCTTCTCCCCGCCGCCTTCGTCATCACCGTCGCCGTCGCCGGCTTTCTCACCTCTGGGGCTTTTGGGGTAACCGCCTTATCCTCCGTCTCATGGATGGCCAACTATTTACGCAGATCCCGAGTTCCTTTTCAGCTCGACCAAGCCAAGCAATGGGTCCGTGAAGCGGCAGCCCAAGCGGCCCAAACGGCTGAGGAGGCCAGCCAGGCTATCCAAACCAAGGCCCAAGATTGGGTGAAGACTGATGAAGACGGCCCAGCCCAAGAAGAAGCGAGTTCTGAAGAAGTCGGCCCAGCCCAGGCAAAAGGGAGTACTACTGAAGAAGTCGGCCCAGCCCAGGCAAAAGGGAGTACTACTGAAGAAGTCGGCCCGGCCCAGGAACAAGGGAGTACTACTGAAGAAGTCGGCCCAGCCCAGGAACAAGGTACTGCAAAAGAGGAAGCGGCCCAGGAACCGGGGAAAGCCCAAGAAAGTGGGAAGGCCCAAGGAAAAGGGAAGGCCCAAGGAGGTAAGGCCCGAGGAGGAGGAAAGACATAACGAAGGAGCCCAGTGAAGCACTAATGGGCCGAATCCTACTTATATATGTAAATAATTTAATAATTTTGGAATTCTGAGTGTCTACGTGTTGAGTTTTTATCGTCCAGAAATAAAAGTGTTATTTATGAAATCTATACAAATAAATAAATACTAATTGTTATATTTAATTTATATTATGAGATAACAAAATTGAAAAGGGAAAAAACAAAAACATACGCAATATTTAAATCAAAAAAATAAAACAATGTAGAAAATTGGGCTTCAACTCCCATGCCTCCACCTCGGCTCTCTGTCATTCTCGTCCTCCATTATTGTTCCAAGTTAATTGGAACTTATGGGATTCGACCGACATGTCGTCTCAGATTTCGGAAGCGATCTTGGATATTCGTTGGATGAAGAGGTCGAAGTTGTCGTCCCGATCCATCATACTCACACGTACGAACTGTTCACTGCACCCGAAGCTGACTCCACTCCGACCTATAATTTTATGGCGCCGAAGTAAAGCGGCGCAGTCCTCGTCATTCTTCTCGCACTTGAGCCACGCAAAAGCTAGCCATGAAAAAATTAATAAGCCGCCGTCAAAACATCATCAAATATTTTAAATTAAATATTTAAATTACCAGGCCGGGTCTGGGTTCGTTGGTTGAGAAAGGTGCAGTAAGCAGAAGGGAAGTCCGGGAGAGTGAACATTCCGGCGTTCTTAACGGCCTGTCTAAGGCGGCACCACCTCTCCGTCATGAGGCGGTGGCCGAACCCATAAAAGGATTCGCTGCGAATAACTAATGAACTCCCAATTTGTTCACAAGTATCTGATACTACGTTCAGCATCATTGCCGTTCGGAGCTGGGAATCTTTGGACACTCCAATAGTGTTCAGCTCAATGAACTTCACCATTTTCATTGCCACCTCAGCATCTTTAACGAGAGCCCACCTAAACAAACCAAACCAATAAGCTCCGACAAGAAAGGTTCTATTTTAAAAGTTTAGAGACTAACTAACCCGATTCGAGAACCGGCATGACCGGTGCACTTGGAGGCAGTGAACAATGAGATATCATTGTCAGCAGGCGCCGTAATGGGCGTGTAATGAGGCCAATAGTACGCAAGGTCGTGTAGTACTTTGCCTCCAATCCGGTTCACTACCGGTTCGCGTAGAAAACCGTCCGGGTTGCATGGTGAAGTAACAATTTCTATATAAGCCCCATCGCTGTCATATTTGCTTGCATTTCCACCCCATTTGAAAAGACTCGTTTTTAAATAGTCACACATGGATGGATAAGACTGCAACCAAGAATTTGAATTATTACTAGACATCTATTATTGCATTCACGCGATTCGATAGAATTCCAACTTACAGAATAGTAGGGGGCGGCAGAGACGACGTTGGTGGGCTCAGAAGAATCAGGCGAAGAAAGGGCGTAAAGTGACGCCAATATGAGCTGGGAGGAGCCGGTCCCAACGACGATATAGCGGCCTTCGGTTACGGCATTGCCAACGACGCGGTGTAATCGGAGAATTTGCTCGCACAAATCGGGCTCGAGAAACCAGCAAAGACTCTGGCCCTTGGAATAGTAACTCATGGATCGCCACCCAGGTATCACCAACGTGGCTTTCTTCCCCATTTTCTTCCAAAAAGTTTCATACATAATTGGGTCTCCACTGCAAATCATTTAAACCAAATCAAAATTCAATGATAAAAGATCATGCAAAATACGACATGAATGTCGGGTCCTTACACGTCTAGATTGATGACTCGATCCTCCCCGTAATCTCGACGCTCCGATGGAGAAGCCAAAGCCAAAGGAACATGATTACAGGCCTCATTTAATCCCTTCTTCAAGTCTTTTTTCTTAGCCGACGAATCCATCTGCCATTCATCGTCGCTGAAATGAAAACAACCGAATTAAACCCGAAACAGAGAAAACCAGAGGAAAACAGAGGATTAAAACAAGTAACAGGGCATGATCCAACCTGGGCTCCTGCTTGAAATTCACACAAGTACAGAAATTGAACATTGTATTGAATGAATATTCAACAAAGAAGAATGAAGTGGGAAATGGATAAGGTTAGAGAGAGAGAGAGAGAGAGAGAGAGAGAGAGAAAGCGCGGAAGGATCTGCCCAATGGCCTGACCGGGGATAGTTTATGTTCCTTTCAGATGAAGAACATAAAAATCCCTCGAATCATTTTCCGGCAAAGGCTACGAAGATGGGAGTGGGTTATATAAGAGGGGAGCGCCTATGGATCTTCAGTCAACCGCTAATTGTGGTCCTCAGATTTAACTGACTTTTTCTATTCTGGGATTTTTACTTTTTTCTGTGTCCTTTATTTCAGAAAATTAAGGATGTTTGTTTCAAACTTCACTCAAACATTTCTTTATTTAAATAACCTACATTTTTTTTTCCTTCATTAAATTAATGTTTTTCTTTTGTAAAATATTGAATATTGTCAACAAAAGAAAAAAAATATATATATCTATGGAAACTTTGATTTTTTTATTTTATTTTTATAATAAATAATTTTTAAATCTATTTGAATTTAAAAATTGGGAAGATTTATATTATATGATTGGAGGAGAAAAGACGATTTAATGGAATTAAACTTAAGTGAAATTTAAGTGTAAAACTATGTTTTATACCTATTTTTTTTTATATATAAAACTCCCAATTTATAAACGAGACATTAGTACATTACGTATTGATTAGAGTGATAAGAAGCCTGGATTAATCCACAAGAAGTTTTCGAAGATGAGAGTTCTGCGAAGCTCAAAATTGATACTCAATTATGGACAATCTTGAAGAGATCGGCCATGGGACCTGAATCTTCACCATTTTATCATCATATTCAAACTCTGCATCTTCTCCGTCAATTTCGCAGCTTCTTGGCTCCTTCGAAGCGAACACTCTCATCTCCCCGCACCCCCCGACTCCGACTTTTACCAAACCTTCATTTTCCTCGATTTCTAGGGATTGTATCGCGCCCCCACAATTCAGCATGTTCACTAGCCCGATTGGAGCAAATTCCACGTATGGTTTCGATAAAACTGTCACAGGGGAAACTACAAGCAATTCGTAGCTTAATGGAGCGATGGTAAATTCTAAATTCTCCGATGTCTTCAATAGCCTGAGTTTCTTCTCCTGGATCATGTATATCGCAAACAAGTATACTCCCTTCAGAGAAATGGGGTTTTTCCCATTGTTCCACTCGATATCTTTCGGACCAGCGACGCAGGTTAGTGTGCGTGCGTACTCGGAGGTCCTTCTGTTTTGCCTTGTCTTCGGACACCACCCTCCTCCTTGGCAATTAAACAGACCCAATGCACCTGTGAACTGTGTCGAGTTGACCACAAGGTGTTCGATTAAATGCCGCACCGAAATTTGAGCATTAAAATGAGATATAGGCCTATGAATTGAAAAAGAGGATCAAGGGTGTGGTTTTTTTTGTCTTACTTGATTGAGGTTCCATATTTTGAGCATGGTTTTGCCATCCTGAAGAGGGTCTTCAAACAGACAGTCTCTGGAAGGAAGGGCATAGTGTTGGCATCGCAGTATTGACCCATCAGGCAAAACTAACCTTTTGAGTAACTTGAAGTTATGTTTACCGACCGAGTCACTTACATAGATTGGTCCACCGGAGATGGCCCTTGAAGCCGCGTGGAATTCAGCGCAAGGGTGGGTGGATTGGAACATGTCCCAATCTGGGTGAATTATATTGCCCATCCACAGGCTATTGTAGGCACAGTGCACCATGTGACACCCTTGTAGCCAATATGGATCTCCAGAGGCATCCACCGTCCAGAAATCATCTCCTGTAAACAGAGGAATGGTATAAATCTTCAAAGGCTGGTACTAATTTGTAAAATTTAGGTGAAGGAAAGATGAATAGTTCGGGTTTCACATGGCCATACCAACACGTCCAAGCGCTATGGCCTCGGTTCCAAGGTACATGAAGTCATTGCACTGCTCCATGCTTGCAATAACCCCATTTCCTTGTAAATGTTTATTGATAGACGCAGTGAGTGCCTTGTAATAAGCTTTGGCTAGCTCGATTCGGCCTCCAAATTCCTCGGATAGCATTTCAAGCAACTGCATGATTGATCACAGAAGACTCATCAGACGGGGAGATTTTGATTCAACGCTGTATTTTCCTATGAGGGTGAGGAGAAACTGGAGTAAATACAGGAAATTTCTAGGACTGTTTATTGAGATCTCTCATGGAAAGATGAAGTCAGTAAGTTCCCAATTCGTTGATGCTCGCAAGAATCCAGCTGATACCTCATGGTCTCCTGATACTTACCAACTGAGAAAGGCCAAATGAGCGAGCCTATTGGAGCGCACAAGCTATAACTGATATGGTTTTCTACATTTTTGGTCGAGTTACACGAATCAATGCCCTGCAATTTCAAGACCAGGCTGTATCCTGTTCTTCCCCTTCTTCAAACAAACCATATTCAAACAAACCATATTCCATAAACAATCTACTCCTGTGCCATGTTGAGGATGGTTGGGAGGGAATCCCATGTTTGCAGATGGTTTATAAGTAAGGAATATGCCGATGGTTTATAAGTAAGGAATATATATATCTCCATTGACATGATGATGCCTTTTGGGTAAGCACAAAGTAAAGCCTGAGAGCCTAAGCTTAAAGTGGACAATATCATATCATTGTATAGACTCGTTATTCCTAACTTAGTATCATAGTCAACTTAGCCATGTGGATAAAATTCTCAAATTTCGAACAAAGAAGTTGTGGGTCCAGAAACTGTAGTTAAAAGTGACTTAAATGTCGAACAAATTGTGTACTTTGTTCGAGGACTCCAGAGAATGAGTCAAACCGCTATTAAGGAGAGCTTATGCTCTAAGTGGAGAGTCGTTAGGGTGGAGAGTCGTTATTTCTAACCAGCTCCCTCGAGTTCGTGATTTTTTTTCCGATTGAACTACAAATTTTAAGCTTGAACTTCAATATTAAGAGACCAAACAGACCAGCATAAGAAGGGAACTTACGTGAATAACATCAACCTTGACGCCGTCGATACCCGCCGACTGGAGGTGGGAATGGAGTCCATCGTACATTTTGTGGGCCAGCTCCGGCGGGACGAATCCAACGCCATTATTGACGATCTTGTCCACAGCCAAATCCTCCATCGTCATCTCTAAGCCCTTTGACGGCTTAGGGCTGATGACCCTTGACAGGGGCATTCCGGGGACATTGGGTCTAATCCCACCCCAATACCCACAAAGAGCATGCCATACATACACATGCTCGATTGTCCTAAACTCCTCCTTCAGGTCCCTCACAAAGGCACCCAGCCCTACACCAGACCCCTTCCCGCGACTTCCATAGTCCCTGAACTTATAATTCTCTTCATATTTGATTAGCCTGCAAGGCATCTGTTCCCCTGCAACCGTTAGATCCATGGCTTCCTGATGAGGATCAGCGATGGAATCAGCATCATGAGCAATAGATTGCCACCCGTCATCAATCAGAATCATCCCCGGAGGACAGCCACCGTCCACTAGGCATTTGACACCTGTCATAACCCCGTGAGGGTTCACCTTAAGATAGAATGCATCCCACGTACACCACCCGAATTTATCCACGATGGGAGGTGGGGTCTTGTCATCTAGAAGTCTGAAGGTACCCAAATGGAGTTTGACCACGTTCATAGCCTCGTTGACCAAAGTGTACGGATCTTTGCCGACTTGCATGTATAAGCAGCTTCTAAACTGCGACGCTTGGACGGTGGTGGACCCACTTTCGACCCACATCGCGACAGTGTCGTCATCACCCGGACGTAGGGAACATCTGAAAGCTCCTTCTAAGATGGGAAGGAAGAGGACAAATGGACGGCCCTGATCATTTGTGTCGAGAATCATCATCTGTGTCTCGTGCTGGATGTCGCGGCCGCAACTGCCGACCCAGTGGGTGGTCCACCAGACTTTGAATCTGAAGATACTTGAGAATCTTATACCTCGGAGGTTGCCGATGGGAACAAGATGGCAGCTTTTGGGCTCAGCCGCATCGAAGCCGAGAAAACAGCCGCCGAGGAGGGATTTGGGAATTTTGGTCTTATGGGAGAAGATGTGCTGGGAAGGAGTGGCTTTGATATTTGAAGGAACATGGGTTAGAAATGGGTGGCCATTGGCAACAAATTCTGATCCCTTCAAGGCGATTGAGAGATCGAATGAGGGCGCGTCCAGCAAGGGGATCACGTCGTCTACGGGGTTACTGGTTAAGCTTGGTGGAGCCATGACACAAAGATGGTTAAGCTTGGCGGAGGAAGAGAGTTTTGTTGAGTTGGGTTTGGTGCAGAACGAAGGTTTGAGGAGGGGGTTTATATAGAAAATGGAATGGTACGGTGTCAATTATTGGGAGCGAGTCCCACGTTAGCTAATTAAGGGAATGAAATACATTTTTACCAGACATTATTAGTCCTAAAAATTGTGAACCTTATCATATTATTGTGGAGGTTCGTCATTTCTAACTTGATATCAGAGTCATGCCCTTAACTACTTAGATTCACGTCAATATGATCCTCAAATATCGAACAAAGAATGTTTCGAGTCTTGAAGGTGTAGTAAAAAGTGGCACAAAGTGTCGAGCCTCGATTATAGGAGGTTGTTCGATGTAATTTCTAGAGGTTTCTTGCTTTTCCAGACATTATTTTGGGTAAAGGTCACCGGGCAACAACAAAGATTAGGCATTACCCTAAACATATAAAGTCAAGAAATGGGTTTAAGGTTTAGATTTGTCGGTTTGTGTAACATAGAAGACCACAAAGCCACATTCTAAGCATGTTCTCTCTTTTGTAAAAGCTAAAGGGATTGGTCGGAGTGCGTAAACCCTACAAAAGAACCAAACACACAACCCTTAATTCATTCCACCATCTTATGGTATGCTTTTAACCACCAAAACCTTTTACTCTTGTAAAAATATATTTAAATTTTAAAAGTATTAATAATATTTTTAAATTTTAAAAAATGATTTACTCTTAGTTTATAGATATTTTTATTAACTTAGGGCATTATTGAAACATAGGGTAGAATGTTGATGTGATTTCTTTTTGGGTATAGACATTATGCAGTAAAGTTGAGACATTAAATTAATAATTAAATGCAATTTGTTTGGGGGGTAAAATGTTAGTAAAATCCAGGTGTTTCCACGGGTGTCTTGTGTCGAAGCGTTCAGCCACCTCTCCGCCACGCTGCATTCATACATGCCACCCCCCCACCACCTGTCCTTGTCTTCTAACCAAGCCACATAATAATAATATTTTTTAAAAATACTTGTATTTACGTGAATAATATATAATAAATATATTTTCTAAACATAGAACAAAGTTTGATAAATTTAGAATAAAAATGAAAAATTATAACATATATATATATATATATATATAGAGATAGATAAGTGAATATGTCTGTACGAACCATTATTTACTATATATTTTATATTTAGATTTATGGAGAAAAAAAAGATATATACGTTAAGCCCATCCACAATGTCAGCTCTTTGGAGTAGTGGGCCGGGCTTCTAAACTATCTGAATATATAACGGTTCAACCCTGGGCCTGGCCATCTCCGTGTCCGGTCCAAATTTAATTTATTTTATTTAATTGATTGAGCTATAGGTGTGTATACCTTTTGTCAAATTTGTCATTATTATTTAGCTCATACCATTTAATTTCATTTATGTTAAATTAATAAATTATATTTAAATGGTTCCACTTTTTGGTTGGATTTAGTACGGATTTGAATACAAGATTGATTTAATTGATGGGATGGTATTGAAAACATTAGGGGGTGTACAATTGATAACCCAAATTTGACCGAGGTTAGATCGAATTGGGCTAAATAGGTTACTAGGTTAGGTTTGCTTTAATTTTCTATAAACCGAGTGGATCGAGTCAGACCTAAATTCAGTATGCAGTTTGAACCAGTCCGAACAAAAAATATATATAAAGAGTTGTATTGTTGTCTGTTATTGTGCCCTCCTCGCAAAATCGCAAGTTTTTTCTCTTCTACATACTTACATCAACATCTTGTCGCAGCTGTTGCCGTGAATTACATTAACCATTGTCATTTAAAAGTTGTTTTAGATAATTAAAGAAAAAAAAAACTGAACACAACAACCCAACTCGACCCATCCCTCGTAATAAATGTAGGGTCTTGAAGTTATATATATATCTTTTTACCTCAAATACTATTAAAACTAAAAAAAAATGGTGAGTTTTAATTATGATAAAACTTGTGATAATGTATTAATATATATTAGCTAGAGCGCGCGATGAGTAGGACCACTTATAATTAGGTTGCCAAATGTAATTTCATAATCTGTTGACAGACACGTGTGAAAGACACTATCTCATCAATTTGGTACGTTTGGTTCTTTTTTTCTCATTTAATTAAATTAAATTAATTCCAATCAAAGGATGGCTTTATTGATTGCCTTTCACTTTTTGGTTTGTTTGAGAGACAAATGCATGGTAATTTAAACTTTTGATTACGGTGAAAGAAATACATATTAATTACAATTAAATTACGTCTAGTTTGATGAGAAAATGACTCCATACTGTGCTAAACCTAATCTGGAGAAACCATGAGTATTACTTAGAAAAGTATAAAGACATAAGAAGGTTGTACAAAACGCATACATAATAATGTAGAAACAAATATGGATGCCAAGCAAAAAGTAGGCCATACCAGCTTTCCAATCAATCCTTGTTGTTCCACACTTTTTTGGACATGTCATGAATATATGTTTTGAAATGACATATCCATGTCACTGTTACAAGCCCAACTTCACACGTCAAATTAATCAACACAAACATTGTTTCAACCAAGCGAATCAAATTTCAAAACACAATGGGTCCTCCTTGTCCCAAAATAATATTCTATTCTAATAGAGATGCCAATGAATAGTGTACAATCACCTTAAACTTATAATCCCCAAGATGCGCGGATATTATACTGCTAGAGTTTGACTGTGCTTTATATGGGCTCTACACGCTACATTCCACCTTTCTTCTCAACAAGTCAAGTCCAAGATTACCTGTTTACTCCAGAGTTAGTATCGAATTGAAAAAACATAGAGCATTCAAGAATAAACAAGTCTTCAAGAAGAAAAACGAGATACATTTTTACGAGAGATTGTATGTAATATTTAATACTCTTTTCATTATAACATTAACTACCGAGCTCACTGAAATAGAAGTAAATCTAATCAACTCGTGGCCTACCTTCTTTTCTTTTGCTCTTGTTTGTGAGCTTGTGGAGGAAGAATTTTAGGGTTTACAAACTTGATCCCAATCAGATTCTTAAGGCTCATGATATGATGGAGAATTTAGAATAATAGAAGAGGTAGAGGAAGAAAAATGGTAGAAGTAAATGAAAAGTTGTCAAACTGAATGCCTCAACTTTAACCCACCAAGGCTCCAACATAAAAGCCGTCCTTTTTTTAAGGGCAAAGATTAAAACTTTGGGACAAAGGCCGCATGCAGCGTAAAGCAGTTCCTGTCCCAAACGACACATTTATTATACTTGTATAGCTAAGAAATAACCCATACTCTTTTACGCCAACAATATTTATTTTTTCAATTTTCTCTAAAGATTGCTTTTTTTCTTTTTGGGTCGTTCCCATTATGATCCATTTCTGCATGCAAATCACACGTGTAAGCAAACCTATTTTCAAGAAATTGATATGTATTTTTTTACGAGGTTTAAATCCATATATTCAAGTGTACTAAAGAAACTAACACATACCAAAATAAAGTTATGAACCAAGAAAAGACAGTGTTTAATACAAAGCTAATACGAGGAAAAGTCGAATATTAATTTTAAAAAACAGAGAAAAAGGCCATGTTTTTGTTTCTCGAATAAGTGAGACACATTATGCCAAAATATGAACATAAAGATTCTTTTTTTTTTTTTTTTTTTAACTTTGAAATCTAACCCTCTTTGTTGCAACTTTGAAATTATTATATATAAATAAGATGGAAATTTGAAGTCTTGAGATTGAAAAAGGAACACCCAAAAGTTGGTTAGGGTAACTATTTTAGGGGAGAGCAGGGAAATGGAATGGTCTTGGGAGTAGGAGATAAAACTTTCAGGGTTTGTTTTTCTTTTATTTTTCATTTTTTGGTGGTATAAATATTAAGGTTTGATGTTTTTATGTGGAAGAGAGAGAGCGAGAGGTTGAATGGTAGGGTGATGAAGGAGACTCTAAGGTATTTGGTTGGAATTGCAGGCCCAAGTGGGTATGGCTCTAAGTCAAGTGCAGAGCAAGTTACTGAACATTTGCAGTGTTCTTCTCCTTTGACTGCCATTATCACTGGTAAGCTTTTTTTTTTAACGATAGTAACCTAATTTTGGTCTTTTCTTACTGTTTTGTTCTAAATTCACTTTGTTCTGCAAGTTGTATCCTAACTAATATATGGTTCTTTTGAATGGTACCAAGGGTTGATTTTTTTTTTTTTTTTAAATGAATTACTGTTAAGCTAGGCTCGAATTATCTTTAAAGTTGTGGCCATTCAATTTAAGGTAGAATAAAGAAAAAAACCACAAAAAGGGTTCGAACCAAAGTTGCACATGTATATATGAGAGAATTTAGGTTTTTCTTTCATTTTCCTAAATTTTATTAGGAAGAAACTAAATCTATAAAATCTTGTTTGCTAATCATTTAGTTTTCTTTTTTTTTTTTCTTTTTTTTTTTAATTTTTAAATCAAGCTTATAAATATTACTCAACCCCTAATTTCTTTGTTTTGTTATATATATATATATATATATTTAAAAAAAAAATTAAAAAGAGCTAAAATTTAATTTTTTAAAGAGAGACGAGAATAAAAAAGAAATCGTGAGAAAACAAACCCAATTTTCAAAAATAAAAATAAAAATCATTATAAAATGGAGTTTTACCTTTTGATCAATTGAATTATGGTCGGCTTGGTTGTCTTCAGCTCGAGGCTTCATTTCCCTAAATTTGTCAGGAGGGCGTTCGAAACTAAATGGATTTAACCAAATCGCTTCTTGTATCCACCTCCAAACCTTAATCCGTACATCCTATACATATATACACATACTTATATGAGAAGCTTAATTCTATAAATATAAGGAAGGAAATAAGGAGAAAAACCACTCAGCATGATCAATTAAACCATATAATGTTACCAAAGAATAATAGATGGGTGTTAAAACAAGACAAAACAATCCAGAAGAATGATGAGAATTTGATTTTATTTGTGGGTGCAAAAAGGGGCAACATCAGGAATTGGAGAAGAAACAGCAAGAGTTTTAGCAAAAAGAGGAGTGAGAATAGTAATGGCAGCAAGAGACATGAAGAAGGCAGCAAAAGTGAGAGAGAGGATCAAAAGAGAAGGTCCAGAAGCAGAGATTTTAGTGTCTGAGATAGACCTCAGCTCTTTGGCTTCTGTTAGGAGGTTCTGTATGGAGTTTGCAGCTTTAGGGCTACCACTCAACATTCTCATGTGAGTTTGCCCCCACTTTCCCCAACCAATATCCCATTTTTCCCTCTCAAATTTCACCCTTTTTGGACACACAAACTGTTTTTGCAGAAACAATGGTGGGGTTTTCTCTCCAAATTTGGAGTATTCTGATGACAAGCTTGAGTTGACATTTGCTACTAATTATTTGGGTAATAGTTTTTCCTTCTCTCTTTTTTCTTCTCATTCTGAAACTCAAACACAGAACAACAGTTTGATTGCAGAAGAATAGATGATTCTTAGCTCTACAAACTCCTTAATTACTTTTCCAAAGTCAGAGAAAGTTGAATCTACTCAATAATGGCTAAAGAAGAATGAAGTTACGTCAAAAAAAAGGATACAAAATGAATTTCAAAATTCTTTTTCCTGCAGGACATTACCTTCTGACAGAACTGCTTTTAGACAAATTGATAGAAACATCAAGGAGAACAGGCATCCAAGGAAGAATTATAAACGTCTCTTCTGTTGTCCACTGCTGGGTGAAGAAGGACGATCTCTGCTTCACTCACCTGCTCAACCCAAACAAGTTAGAAAAACTCGAACCCATTACAGATCATTTTCGTTTAGGTTTCGAATTTTCAAGTTTGTGTTTATATGATTCAAAAGGATCAGATAGAAACGCAAACTTTTAATTTTGTGTCCAATAAGTCAAAAAGAACTTTTAAAAGTGCGCACAGAAAGTTTAAGAAATCCATTTTGAGTAACTAAAACTTTAATTTCTTTCTCCCTTTTCTCAAAACACAAAAAATTACCAAGGTGTTCACTAGCTGGCTACAGGTCAATAGCAATCCATGGTCAGAGAATCGAACTAAACCCTGTTTGGGGTTTTGGATTTGGAATGTCTGCAGGTACAATGGCACGCGTGCTTATGCTCAATCAAAACTGGCTTGCATTTTACATGCCAAGGAGGTGGCTAGACAGTTGAAGGTAATCTTGATTCTTCACCTTCTACGTTTCCTGCAAACAGTTAACAAAACAGTCCATATTCTGAAATTCCAGCCATTTTTACAGGAAAGAGATGCCAATGTGACAATTAATGCAGTGCATCCAGGCATTGTAAAGACTGCAATTATCAAGGCACATCGAGGATTTATCACAGGCATGAACTGTTGACTCTTTCTAATTCCTGATGTACAGCCATCTTGAGCCAGTTCTACTTCTACCAAAAGGAAAATGTGCAAGAGAGTACTGATTTATCATAACTATATTCTAACATCTCTTGCAGATTCTCTCTTTTTCATGGCATCCAAGTTACTAAAATCCATTCCTCAGGTATTTTCATTTGTAAAATCGATTCAGAGCGTTTGGATTTGCCTAGTGTTACTCATACAAAACAGATAGTAACAATTATTGTGCCTACAGGGTGCTGCTACGACATGCTATGTGGCTCTAAGCCCACAAACACAGAGAAAAACAGGAAGATATTTTGCAGATTGTAATGAGACTAAGTGTTCATCTCTAGCCAACGATGAGTTAGCAGCACGAACGCTATGGATGCAAACTCGTGCCCTAATTCTCAGAGAACTTGGTGAACCAGTTTGAGCTACATCATCAATAAATTTTCAACCAAGAGAGAGAGAGAACAGTATATATAATAAATCTATGCATTTGTAAATGAACAGAGATCCTGGAGAAGTTCATCGAATAAGATCTCGTAATAAAAATACGCCTAAATTCTTGAACAATCCCTCGATCTTTTAGAAGTTGAACTTTGTATGTGAAGGATCATTTCTAAACGATAACGGAGACAATATGAATTAACACCGTGTTATCAGGATCTCCGATTGCCAGAAAACAACAAGAACAATCTTTCATGGAAAAAATTACAACCAGTCAGTTAATTTCAAATTCGAACAGTTTACAATACAGTAAGAAAGAATTGTCCCGGCGTAGACATTGTCGCGCCAGCCAGTTTCGCCGCTGAAGTGAAGTCTCTCCCTCCACCGCCATTTACGACCTCTTCGCCTTTTAAGCCCAGCAATTAGTTGGACCTCATTTCTTTTTAAGCTCACCAATTAATTGGGCCTCGTTTCTTTTTAAGCCCAAAAATTAATAAAGAGCACAGGTATAAATAGTTCTACTACCTTGCCCTCTTATTTGGAGTAGACATGATTTTGACGAGCGTTTATATAATTCTACTACCTTGCCCTCTTAGAGTCTGTCTCTCACATTCTTGTTTACACGTTGCCTCCAACCTTACTTATGCTTCAGTTTGACTTTAATGCGTACTCTTTTTAGTGTGTTGGATGATGCACCGTTCTTCTCGTTTGTATCATCACACATGTCTATCTCGGCCCTCATGTGACCAAATGAGCATAATTTGAAGGTCATTGTCTAATATGGTTGTGGGATCACAACCTACTTTCTTCATAATATGATTGCGATAGTCTCCCCTACTTAAATTAGTTATTGTCTTCAATGACTTCGACACTCCTATTTACACAAACCTAATCTTACAATACTATTACGAACACAGGTATAAGAGCCTCGACCCCTGACATCGCACTTCCACATGACTTTATCTCAAAATGCCATTATAAAAATAGGAAGAGATTCATTTGATGATGGCCCGATTAAAGTTGCATGCATATTTAGATTAAAAATGATAGGGAGAAGAAAAGGTATAGAATAGAGAGAGAGTAATGGAGCAGCAGCAGCAGCACGCGAGATGCATATATTATGAGTTCTATGCCTTTAATTTCCTCTGCTTTTCCACAGCTTTTGATGCTTTCCCATTTCAAAACCCATTTTCTATTCCTTTCTTCTGCACCATTCTCATTACTCCAAATTTAAAATGGGTCCCGATTTTAAAAGCCCCTGCTAATTGATATTGTCCGTTTTTACTTACGTATCGTCGTCAACCTCACGGTTTTAAAACTTATATGCTAGGAAAATGTTTCTTATTTTCCTTTTCAACCGAAGTGAGATCTTACAATCTGCACCTTTGGGGGTCAATGTCCTCACTGGCTATACTAGGTGTTTCGACTCTGATATCATTTATAACAACTTAAGCCCACTACTCCCATTGTGTATTGCAGTCACCCTCACGATTTTAAAACGCGTATATTAGGGGATAACTTTCTACATCTTTATAAATAATGTTTTGTTTCCTTTTTCAAAGGATGTGAAATCTCACAATCCACCCTTTGGGAACCTAGAGTAGCACACTGCTCTCTCCCACTCTAATATTATTTGTAACAACCCAAGTCTATTACTACTAACTAACTAATATTGTCAGCTTTGACCCATTATATAATCCAAGTCTATTACTAACTAACAAATATTGTCACAGATTTGCGAAAGTGTGTAGAGAAGTTTTCACAGATTTACGAAAAGAAAAAAAAAATAATATTTAATTTGACAAATTCTTGTTACAATATTAATAATAATAATAATAAAAGAAATGAAAATATTCAAGGGCATTTAACATTCCTACCGGGACCTCCATAGTAAAAATAAGTGCCCCAAACATCATTAGTGCCTTGTCTAATATCATAGCAGTCAGAATGGTCAGCCAAGACATGAAGATTGGTAAGAGGAAGCAAATTATTGTCCCAATCAACCACCTGCAAGTTCCTAAAATAAGAAGCTTTCGCAAACCCTTCTTCACCAAAATGCCCACTCCCCATTTCCGTGGCTGTGTGGAACCCTGACCCTCTGCTGTTCACAATCTCCCCTCCAAACTGCACCATGCTTCCATGGCTCCTCAAATGGCTAAACAAAAACGCTGGCCAGTACCCCACTAGCAAACCCGACCCGTATTCTAGCCACCAATGCCCATGCTTCGGATCCTTCCAAACCATTATGCCAACGTCGAATTGCTTCCCATTGTAAGAGGACATAGGCGAAATGGCTGCTCCAATGGCGATCCGGTTGTTCGTTTGAACGAAGCCCGAGCAAAGTAGATTGTAACATCCAGTGGCTTGATAAGCATCAGTCTGCCAAGTAAATTAAAACATTCCAACAAGTGAGCTCGAGCTTATGCTCAAAATTGACAATATCATATTATTACTCGAGGATTCGTAACAGATTTTCTAAGTCGAACAAAAAAAAAAGAACATGAAACTCACCGTCCAGTACGTAAAGAATCTAGGATTGTTGTCGCCGTACAACTCAGGACTAACCTGAACAAAGAAGAAGATGATTAAGGTCACTGATATTCAGCATTCATCGTTCCACGATGTTTTAGCAAATATTTTGAACGAACATTCATAAACTTGCCTGCCATCCAGCTTCAATGGTGTTCAAATCATTGCCAAAAGAGCCTGAAATGACCCAGATTTGTGATAAGCTGAATTCGTTTTGATCAGTAACACGAGGTGCCCATATGTTTAAGCTCGCCTTTGCTCCATAATATTGTTCTCCATTCACAAACACCACAGCATGCTGCATTCATGGAATGAAAGGTTTTGATTCCAAATCCAAAAAAAGAGGCAGTTTTTCATTGAATTCTAACCTCATGGCCATTGCCAGAAGAATCTCTCCTCATATGTCTAATGGGTTTTCTTCCAAATCTTCTGAAAGAACTTGCTCTGTAAATGTCTTGCTCTGTTGTTCTTCTGATTGGAATTGTCCCTTCCGGGCAGAAATCGCCTGAGGCTGACCATAACTGGAAGTTCTCTGCCACTTCTTCCCCGGAGTTGTTCCCTCTCGGCCTCTCCGGCGGTCGCTGTTCATCACAAACTCCCAATCTCCTCAATCAAATTCATAAAACGAAACCCATTTAAATGAATTGGTTACCATACCAATGGAGTGTGTCCTTTGAGGTGAGGATGATCAAAAGCAGGCTGGAGATGAGAAAGAACACAGTCTATAACATCGCCATCCGAGCTCTGCAACAGAGCAAAAAACAACCCAGATTGTCAAATTTGCAGAACAATCAAGATTTTGAGAAAAAAGGGTTTTTTTTTTTACCTGAATTGTCTTGGTTGGAGGCTTGTTGATTTTGCGTAAATAAGCTCTGATATGCTTCAGTTCATTCAGCTCTTTGGAGGGGTGAAAATAAGTTTGGTTTTTTGGCGGCGTCTTATGGGCTATGGAAGTTGGGAAAACAGAGGAGAAAGAAGTAAAAACCAGAAGCAAAACAACAAAACAAGAAGAAGAAGAAGGCATTTTGGTTGGAATGTTTCGGGGAAGTCGTTTGTTTTAGTGTGATTTGTAAGCATTTAGGTTGTCTGGTTGTATGTGATGAAGAATAAAGAATTAACACAGAAGCTCTCTATGTGCTCTGTCTCTGTGTCTGGTTCTAAAATAATAGACCCATTTTTAACTTTTTGATATGAAGAAGAAACAGTCAAAACTTGAAAGCAAACACCTTTTCTTCAAATTTCATTTATTGTTAATTAAAGATGAAAGGCAAGGAGGACAGAGAGAGAGAGAGAGAGAGAGAGAGCGATTCAAACTTTACACAGTACTCTGCTTCATTCAGACAGTTAGGATTTGGGTGGAAATTCCAACAATCTTTTGAATCGGAAAAATCCATTCAAATCTTACCTTGGAAATTCTGTTTTTTCCTATTTTCCACCAATAAAAAAAAATTATTACCATCATGCTCATGTTCGAGGGCCCCAAAGAATGGAGCCCATTCGATTAAGGGGAGGTTATTCGAGAGCTCCATAAGTTTTAGGGGAGACTTATAGTGTACTAGAGGGAAGAATTGTTCAGGATTATTAAGAGTGAGTCCCACATTGGTTAATTTAATGAAAGATCATGAGAACTTATACTCAAACAGGACAATATCATATAATTGTAGAGAGTCAGTCATATTGTTTAAAGTATTATAACTGGAAGAATATTAAGATATATTCCATATATTCTCCGAACATTTTTTAAAATTAATAATTTTATTATATGTAAAATTAAAATAGGTATAATAAAGATGCCCCGAGGGCGTGGCTTGGCACTCGCATATATAGGAACAAAAGGGATTTGCCAGCTAGGATTCTTTTTTATTTATTTATATATAATAAAAATTCTCTCTTCTTTTCAGGCAGACCCATTCCCTAAAAGTTGAAAATTAATTATATTTAGATTCTTCACTTTTTTTTTTTTTTTAATTTTAATTTGAAGATTATTTTTTTATGAAAAAAATTAGAATTAACTAGATAATGTGGGATAACACGTGCGAGGACAGTGGCCACACGAGTTTTATTTTTATTTTTATTTTTATTTATTTTTAAGCTAAATCTTTTGATTTATAATTTTTAATATTTGAAATTAGTTGATATAAATTTCTATTAAATTCATGAAATTTTACAACCTTGAAGAGGATGGTCATGTGAAGACAAAAACTATACCACTTTTTACAACCTTTATGAAAGAATAAATAAAATAAATTAAAGCCAGAAATTTCTGTCACTTTTCAAATTTTTTTATTAAATAAACCATTTTCTTTTTAAATACTTTAATATTAAGTAAAATATATTTTTAAAAAATTAATAGGGTTTGTTTTTGGACAAGGAGACTGCAAAAGTAGCTGTGTTTACTTGTTGGACAAGCATGTTTTGAGCAAACAGCATAAATTCCTAAGTTATAGAATGATAAAAGGGTAGCAAGAATATGAACTGGGTTCTCCACAGTGATTGATAGGTAAAGAATCAATTTCTTCACAAAAAGCTCTCCCTTTCAGCTTTGTTCTAGTTGAACAATAAGATCGGTTGGAGAGGGGAACGGAACATTTTTTATAAGGGTGCAGAAATCTTTTTCCAGTAGATATGTATTAAAAACCTTGAGGGAAAGCCCAAAGAATGCAATATCTACTAAAAGTAGGCTTAAGACGTGACAAATGGTATTAGAGCCAGACACTAAGCGTAGTGCTAGTGAAGACGCTGGGTCTCGAAGGGGGGTGGATTGTAAGATTCTACATAGATTGGAGAGAGGAACGAAATATTCATTATAAGAGTGGAAAACTCGAAAAGAAAAACTTAAAGAGGACAATATTTGCTAGTGGTGAGGTTGTGTTGTTACAACATCATCCGTAAGCTTCTTACAAACTCTAACATGAGTGTAAAATCTAGAAGGTTTCTTGTCTGCTGTCTGTTGATTCACAATATGAGCTTGGTTTGGGTGAGGTTAAGACTTAAGGGAGTAATATCTTCTTGATCCTTCATGAGTAGGATCTACTAGCTGCAGCAAGGATCATGCATTAAAAAGAAAGGTTTGGGTGAACATAGGAGCAGCATGGTTCATGTGCTGTGATCTTGTTCATGTTTCTTTTTGTAATCTTAGCATATCTATTGTGGGAGCAAGTGAAGAAGTAGGCAACCCATCTGATAAAAAAAAGGAGAATAATACATGATTGGGTCACTTATACCTGCTCTTTTCCATTATAAATCTGTAACATTCTTCTGTTCATGAACTTTCAAGAATGAAAAGAAGCATCTAATTTCATTCTTGAAAGCTCCATCTCTTCAGCATTTGTGGTTGATTTTGTTATTCTCTTGCAAAGGGTATCAATCCATTGCTAAAAGTATCATAATCCCAGTTTAGAGTAAAAAAATGTCATCAACGATGAGGGAAACATCGAGATTAGCCGAGGCCTCGATCAACGGCATCGTCCGACGAATGGTTAATCTTCCCAGAAGTATATTAGAAGGATTTTCAAGAGTGATGGGTGGAGGAAGAAGAAGCCAGACACTGCCATCCAGTTATCAATATCAGATTCTAGAGCAGGACATACAAAACGTTCCGGAAGAATGGTCTTTCCTGACCAGTTTCGAGTATCAGTATGGCTCGATGCATCCTTTCTTTTACGCTTGTCGATTTGCAGAAGCCATGAAGATAGCAGAAGATGATCACAAGTTCTTGTTCTTGTATCTACATTCACCAGATCACCCATTTACTCCCTCTTTCTGTGAGGAGACACTGCGTTCAGAACTAGTAGTGCAGTTTCTTGATGCTAACTTCATCTCTTGGGGAGCACTTGCCAACAGAGGAGATGGCCTACAAATGGCTACAACATTGGGAGCTACCAACTTCCCTTTCTGTGCTGTAATTGCTCCAGCTCGAGGTGAAAGCATAACAGTCCTGCAACAGGTTGGTTCGGTTCGAGTTCCAAATTTTCTTTTTTAATCAAACGGTTGACGAGATCACGCTTGAGTTTGATCTTCTGCTTCATCTTTAACTAGCTTGAAGGGCCAGTTTCTCCAGCTGAGCTGGTGGAGATTCTACAGAGGACAATGGAGGAGCAGGGATCAGCTTTTGGTAGCTCCAAACTAAAGCGAGACGAAAAGATAAGAGCTGATCGCAGGCTTCGAGAAGAACAAGACAGAGCATATCATGCAGCTCTTCAAGAAGACAAGGTATGATCTTCTGCAAAATCCCATCTAAATTCCAAAGATTATACTATAAAAAACTACCTGGTTTCCTGATCTAGGAAAGGGAAAGACTTAAAAATCGACCTCGGGTGATACCGAAGAAAGCATACGAAGAGAGGCTCAAGCAGAATTCTCCAAAGAAACATACTTTTACTCATGAAACTCCAAACAAGGATCCTGCAAGTAAAGCAAAGGATTCTCAGCCTAGCTCCCAGGTATATAACTGAGCTAAGGTTACTCCTATTAACATTGAACTGAGTCTAATTATCACTTAGAATTATCTTTCAGATACTAATAAGGTTTCCAAACGGTGAAAGGAGGGAGAAAAGCTTTTCAAGCATGGACAAGGTGAAGTCGATTTACAGCTATATCGACTCGCTTGGCTTGGCAGGTACTGAACACTACAGATTGATAGCAAGCTTTCCAAGAAGAGTGTACGGTATGGATGAGATGAATATGACACTGAAAGATGCTGGCCTCCACCCAAGAGCAAGCCTGTTCCTCGAGCGTCAGTGATGCCATTTACTTTCATGATCACCATAGCTTGGCAATGATAAGACCTGTACTTACTTTCTGTTTAGCAGCTACTTTGTTTGAGATAAACAAATCTGATATCTTATGCAGCATATACAAGCAAGCCTTATTGAACCGACTACAATCCATAACCACTATGTTAGAGCAGGAATTCATCGAGTTTGACATTGAGTGACCCCTACGTATCACTTCATTCCTTGCAGATAATCACGTTTTTTGAACTATTTCTGAGAGTGAAGACTGTTTCTATAGATCAACAAACATATTTCAACATGCTTTATCCTTGTTCACATGCTTAATAATAAACGTTCTAAAAAGAAGCTTAATCGTACTAGTTGAGAGAAAAGAAAAGATGGTTTATTATACTACAAGATTGTTGAAAGGTAAGTGCTTCAACGAAACCTGTGTAACTGGTTGATGGTGTTAGGGGCAGAAAGTTGCATAAAGACGCAGCTGGTCAATCTCCTTTTTCTTTAGCTAAGGGAAACATTATCACGAAATTTTGATTCCCCATCACTTTTTTGTAGGAATGATTCAATGGTCTAAGTTTAAAACGGAGAAAAGTGAGGTGATTGATAATCATAGCTTCGTGACTGTCAATAGAGGGTACTCAAAACAAAGCTTCAACTTTCGCCACTCCAAGTAGTGGAGGACCAGAACTCATGGTGGGTGAGAAGTTATCCCAAATCATCTCTACCAAACTCATATTGTCACTTCAAATTTAAACGTCCCTAGCATAGACTAAGAACCGTTGTTCTTCATTTTAATTAATATTTCTCATACAATATCGATATTGTCAACATTTCTCTTGTGGGGTTGTTCGACACACTGAATATCGATATAGTCCAAACCTATCGTTAGAAAATATTGTTTTTTTTAATCTTTTCCTTTTGGATTTCCCCTCAAGGTTTTAAAACGTGCATGATAGGAAGAGTTTCCACACCATTCTAAAAAATATTTCATTTTCCTCTCCAACCGATGTGGGATTTCACAATCCACCTCCCTTCGAGGTCCAACGTAGTGTGATGTGCCTCAAGATGTCTCCCACTCATAATCTGTTTACATGATTTTTTGTTCTTGGGGATGTCTTTTATCATGTGCGCTTGTCCCTCTTGTCTCGTCTTGTTTTCGGCTCTTTTATCCTTTGTTTTGTCACTCGATAACTCTTCTAATTCTTGTTTTGTTTTTACCATGTTTTGCACCAGTTAAGGCTATGAGATTCGAAATATGTCTTGCGACTCCGTGAGAGAGAGAAAGAGAGGTACATCTTGGGCTTACTTGAAATGGGCCATGCCATGGTCGATACAGCCCAAATGATGCTGTTGACTGGTTGCTCCGAATGAACTCCAGATGCCAATTTGGGAACGGGAAGAGGACGCAGAGCGACCGACCGAGTCGAATGGAGAATCCGAAATTATCAATCTTTCTTGTCAACCTCTTCTGTATTCTCAGTCTTTGCATCGCCATCGAATCACCCCAATACGATGTTGTTCATACAGAATCAGACTTCGAAATCAGATTTTACAGAAAGTCCACTTGGATGTCGGCGCCCGTCCAAGACCTATCCTTCGAGAAAGCTACTAAACATGGTTTCCACAGGTAACCCATTTCCAATTTCCAGTTTCCACTATGTATTTCAATCCCATAAAACCAGTCCTTTAATCTTTACATTGATCATGTTGCGCAGACTGTTCCAGTACATACAAGGTGCCAATCTGAATTGGTCAAGGATTGCCATGACTGCTCCTTTCTTGACAAGCATTGTCCCAGGGACTGGCCCTCTTCACTCGTCCTCTTATCTTGTCCAACTCTATCTGCCGGTTAAGTTTCAAGCCTCACCACCTCTTCCCCTTCCTGAACTGAAACTGAAGCCCTGTGGTTGGGAAGCTCATTGCGTTGCAGTTCGAAAGTTCTCTGGATTTGCAAGGGATGGGAAGGTCATAAAGGAGGCAGAGCAACTCGCCACCAGCTTGAGTAGGTTCCCTTTGGTGAATGCCACCTCTGAAAGGGGTTATGCATATGCCATTGCCCAATACGACTCGCCCTTCCGGTTGATTGGACGAGTCAATGAAGTCTGGGTCGATGTCAATGCAGCCGATTTGGATGGATGTAAATCCAGTGCCATTGCTGCATTCTAAGTTAAAAGTGGTGGGGGAATCAGCAATCATGTTTCAATATGTGCATATGAAGTGTGATGTTTTTCATGCCTGTCTAAAAAAACATTCTTGATGTTTTTCAATACAGTTGATGTATTTGATACTACAATTTTATTGAATGAATCGAATGTATATGACACTTACTACACCATCTCTGAATCAGTTCGGCCTGTGTTTTGGAAGGGCATAAGATGGCAGAGATGCCCCAGCCGCTGCTGCCTTTCTGCCTAACATAGGTAGCTTTATTTGATTATGATAAACAACCAATAGAAGACACAGAAGAAACAGAAATACATATATAGGCTCAATTTTTCCCAAAGTTGAATTGTGATTCTCAATTGTTGTTGTTGTACTTGAACTTGACCACAAGTACTCTCCCTCTATCAACGCGGCTCCTAGAGTCCAGGAGACATCCGGAGGACCAAAAATCACTTCTTTATCGCCAAGACAGAGAGCATCCTCAATGAGTGATGCCATATATGGTAACTGGAAACAATATTGCCACAAACTAGTTTGGTTTCCTGAAATACTCAGCGTCATATCAGCTTGAGAAGCAGAGCATAACTCCAGGCCTCTTTTCCATATGTTTGTCCAATTGGCTCTTGTAGACAGATTTACTGATTGATAGACTGCAAAGAATCCTGATAGAGCATGGAAACGTGTGGTGGAAATGTGCACAACTGTATTATTACCACCTGCGATTACACGAACAATAGTGAAATAAGAATTTGAACCAAAATCTCGCAAATCTCGACGGGGTGGGGTGGAGCGGAGTCCTAACAAATTTCATGAAATGATAAAAATGCACTTTGAGAGTAAGTCCCAACAAATGGCTCTTCGAAGTGCAAATATCCTAGAGACTAACAGGTGGTCCTATATGGAGGAATATGTAAGATAATCCACGTGCATTCAATTCACCATTTGATTTGTTAAGAAAAATTTGACAAGTCAGGCAATTAGTACTCTACTAATTCATGAATACTAATTCTGCATTTATCCGGAGTCCTGAGAACAGTAAGGAAAATAGACGCATATTCTGCCAATGGATAAAATCAGGAACATGATACAGAGGACTGCCAACAGGTAAAACACATGGTTGGTACGTACCATTCAAAGAGAACGGGCTAGCAAGACATTTTGTAGCGTTGGTAGGCTCAGACCAAGCTAAAGTGCTGGAATTGATTGCAGCAGCCCTAGCTATTCGTTTGCACTGCTCCCAATTTGGTCTCCCAACCAAATAAAAAGGATATCCAAGATTGGGGATTTGACGACTCAATTTCCCCTGGCCCGTATTGTTATGGCTTAAACAATTATAGCATGTATACTTTTGCATAAAACTTGAACTAAGGCAAGGATGTCTGAGCTCCACTGTAGTCATGTTACTTTCTCCAAGTTGCTGTGTTTGATTGAGCAAAAGAAGAGTCCTATCAAATGCCTCATTCAAACCAAAAGCTTCCCATGAGAAAGCCAAAACCTGTTGCTCAATGGATCCAACTTTTGATCTCATTAAGTGCATTTCTTCCCTTTCTTCCCTTTTACGGTCTGATTCCATCACAACCTGCAACGAGGAACCACCCAAATCAAGAATTCCCAACGTGCCTGACCTTGAACTGTTTCTAAAGCTCCCCATTTTGTAATTTAAAGCAACCCAACCATAATAAGCTTCTTCTATACCACTCAGCACTCTTATCCAACTTTTTTGATACATGAAAGAATGCTCCTTAATAACAGCCTCGATATCTTCCAAAACCCGCTCGGCATCCTCATTTGCCAATCTCCTCAGTCCAGCAGTAGATAAAACAAAAATAGGAGTAATTGCATGCCTTTCAACCGGTATCTCCTGTTCTGCCCACTCAATCAATGGTTTCAAAGAAGCCCTTATAGCTGAAATATTGCCAACAAATTTATCCAACCCCGGCTGGGTTTGCATACAGTGATAACTACAAGATTTCTTTCGAAGCGGACTCTTAGTTGAATTGTTAGGAAAAGAACGCAATAAAACAGGCAATTTACTACCATCCTTCATCCCCAACGTCCATTCATATACATCTATTCGTGTGCCCGTGCTTCCACAGTCCACGACCACAGTATAATAAAGCTCTTTCGGTGCATTAGAAACTAGAGATTTAAATGCCAGAATTGCACCACGTGAAATCACAATTGTAACAATGACAATAACAGTTACGCTTAATATCCATTTATGCTTAGAGAATCTCGTTGGTGACGGCTTAAGTTTCGAAGGCGACTTGGGGTCCATGGTTAAACATCAAGATGTAAGCACGCTATGATCTACAGTTTCTAGGTACAATCTATCCTTTAAACTTTTTCTATGAAAATTCCCTTTTGGAAGAAAAATATCAACAAACTTAATAGTAGCGAAATCATGACGACCAGATGACTGAATTATTAGATCCAAGGATGTCATAGAAGAGGAACAGCCGCTAGATTCTATTTACGTCAAATCCCTGAATCTTAATTCATAAAAAAACGAACCTCATGAGGCAAATGAAATCTGATGGATCAAAGATCAAGCATGTCCATTAAACTTAAATATAGAAAAATCGCTTCGGCATCTACTTGGATGAGATCAAAGCAAATCACATCAATTTCCGGTACTTCTTCATCAAACTACTAATGGCGAGTCACTAAATTCTCAGAAAATCTCACACTTCTAAAGAAATCGATTGATTTGGAAATATAAAAAGCTTTAGAGAGATGGAGCTTACTGAGACGATATTCTGGAATTCCAATAATCCTCTATTCCGCCACTGTGCCTCTCCCTCTCTCGCGTCAAAGCGAGTGATTGCAGAGAGAGTGGCTTGGATCCTCGAACGAACTACCCGCGCAGCCGCGCCCCTGGCGATATATATTTCTTCAAAATGTTCCCTGAAAAAATGTATATTCTTACTTATATACAAATAAATTAAATAGAATTTATCATACATTGTTACAATTACCTAAACGGGTTACTCATTTCCTACTTCGGAGTCGGTTCGGGCAACCCAGTTTCCTAAACGGGTCACTCATTTCCCATTCGGAATAGCCATTAACGCTGCTACCTTACCCTCTGGTTTTTTTGTGGCGTCCTCACCGTCCGCCATCGGAGGTCCCTTAAAGACCTTCAATTCGCCATTTCGGGTTCCTTCTTCCCCAAATCTCCATCTGTTATTCTCTTCCTATGGGTTTTCTGTTTCCAGAACTTTGATTGTCGACGGGAAGGCTGTTGATTTCGTTTTGATCCCCCCTCCCTGTCTCTGCTGCTGGACTAGAAGAGGGCATGAATTCCTATTCAAAGGTTAGTTTGGGATTTGAATTACTTGCTGTTGTACGTGTTGGGCTTTTGTCAATCGAACTGCCGAATTCTTTGTCACTTTCGTTTCGGTTTTGTCCTTGGGTTGAGGATTAGTTGTTGTTATCGGAGTTAATTGACGGGGAAGCTAAAATTTCAGTATGTTCTAGTCTAATGAACAGAATCCACAAACAATTAAATGATATGATATTGTTTACTTTGAGTATACATTTTCATTACTTTGCTTACTTTGCTTTAGGCTTCCCTAAAAGGTCTCAAGTATTTCTTGATTTTAAATCATGATCATTCCCTAAACTAGCTGATGTGGGACTTTCATCCAACACAATGCTGTCCGGTTTCATGTATGCTGGAAATTAGGGAGTTGTTTAATTGACATGCGAGGGGTGTGGAGAAACAATGGAGATAAGGTTGGTTACTTCTTATATTTATTTATCCTTCGGATACTGGAAGCCCGAGCTTCTGCCTTCAAATGTATCAGTTCATCCGACTCGACAGTTGGCCTTTGCGGTTCTGATTTGTTTTCTGATAGTTTACGAAGGTGGCTTTATGCACTATTCAAGTGTAACAGGCCAAATCCACCGTTAATAGATATTGCCTGCTTTGGTCTGTTACGTATCGCTATCAGTCTTACGGTTTTAAAACGCGTCTAATAGGGAGAGGTTTTCACACCCTTATAAGGAATGCATGGAATCTCACAATCTACCTCTTGGGGCCCAACATCCTTGCTCACACACTGTACGGAACATAGCTTTGATACCATTTATAACAATCCAAGCCCACTATTAGTAGATATTGTCCGCTTTGGCCCGTTACGTATCGTCCTCAGCCTCACGGTTATAAAACGCGCCTACTAGGGAGAGGTTTCCACCCCTTATAAGGAATGTTTTGTTCCCCTCTCCAATCAACGTACGATCTCACATCAAGTTACATGCTTTCAGCGGGCATCTCTAGCCATGGTAGTTATAATGATTCAGCTCTCCCAAATGTGTAGTTTGGAGATTGTGATTCCTTTTTCAATACGAGCTGATTTTCATGTCAAATTACCTTATTTATATCAATACTTGGGATAGGTCTGTTTTAAATTCATGTTTCATACGATTTTGTCTAGTTTCTGAGTTTGTAATCAAGAATAGAGATTGTTTGTCCATGTTGTCGTTCCATGTTTTAGCGAATTTGTCGACTGCTGTATTTCAGTACTTCTGTAATAAAATAACGATAAGGTATGTTTTCTCTTTGTTTGAATCAGGTGCATTGATTATATGATTTGGTCGTAAAGGTCTAGAAGATGGCCTTAATTACCCATCATCCTCAGGTATTTGAGAAATCATAAAGTAAACTCTTTAGTATTTCAATTTAATAAATTATCCTTTCTTGTGCCATGAACTTCTGGATCTATTTCAGCTCATATTTCTACAAAGGGAATACCTCCCATTTTCTTCATTATTATGTAACTGTTTTCATTTATGAAAAACAATAAAAGGAACTACGTTTCAATGTATCTAAAGAAATTGGTACTTAGGCAAAGAAGCAACCTTTTTGTTGAGATTAAAGAAAAGTTTATGAATGAGGTTTCTAGAGAATCATGAAGAAATTTTCAAAGTTCTTCGACATCAGTTGGCTAACAACTACTATTTACCCTTATTCATCTTGTTATTGTATTCCATATGCACCTGATATTACACCCACATTTTACTTTTGCTTGGTCGTTTGCAATCCTAACTGGGTACAACCTTGCACGTGTTGTAGGGTTCTTATGCTGAATTTTCATCAAGATTGTCGTCCTGGAATGGCTCGTTGAATTTAAAACAGTGTGTAACATTTGTTCGCATT